ATAATTTTTGGCATTTTATATTGCAAATTTTGCATTCTAAGTACATATTTTATTGCATTTTTTGACATTTTTAATGTGTTTTTAAGGTTTTTTAGTGTAATAAATTCTGCACAGTCTTAAAAATACACTTTAAGTTATCTATTGTTAATTCTTTTGAAATACCATATGTTTTGATTATACAATTTTTAGCGACGGCTATTTCAGCTTTCAATGAATTAATAGAAATACTTAACAAATCCTAAAAAAATTTGAATTATAAAATTAAATATTAAGCAATACATAAAGTACATTAACATAAGGTAATATTATTCGGAGTTGGTAAATTGCGTCCCGCAAAAAAGGTCATAGTTATATACTGTGTAAATTGCGGCCCGAATATATTTTATACATGCGTAAATTGCGGCCCGGATATATTTGAAATGTACGTAAATTGCGGCCCGGGATATTCCGATTTCCGGTCGGCTGGTTATATTATCTTTAATATTGATTGATAAGGATATCACTTGATGCTCACTTATATAATATTACTAGCCGCCAGTGTGCATTTGATCGAAATATTTTGCACGAGTTTTTACATTGGTCTACAGTATTTACAGTATTTGTATTTTTTTTAAATTTAATAACAACCCTTAATGTAATTTACATAACAATGATAAATATTTAAATAGGCAAATATATTAAAATGTAACGGGGCCGCGATTTACGTATGTATATAATATACCGGGGCCGCAATTTACGTATGTATATAATATACCCGGGCCGCAATTTACATAAAAAATTTGAAACGGGACGCAATTTACAGCGATCCATATTATTGCTATATTTACTTTATAACGATAAATGAAGTTAGTACTTTGTTCAAAATGTAGATTGAAAAAGTTATTGTTATATAATAATTAATGTTAACGTAGCTCAATCATTTTAATTTTATCATAAATTTACAATACATAATTCATCCATGAAGTATGAACCTTAAACATTCACATAATACATAACTATCGGATATCCTGTTTAGGAACTGCGTAGAATATATTAAAATTTTCTTTAATAAAAAACCTGAAATTCGTTGAAAAACTTTAAAAAATGTAAGGTGGCTATACAAATTTTTGGGGGCCAAGTCCCACAAGCCTCTCCCAATTTACGCTTATATCTGTTGCGTGCCAATATCAGGTCCAGATCCAGGGTGTTATTAAAATTAAATTTACAACTTTTAAATACAATAATGTTTTATTCTGTATAAATGAAGTACATGTAACTGTTACAAAAAGTGGCTGAGTGTCGTGAAGTTGCTCAGGTCTTCGTAGCTCTGGTACATCTGCCCCTGTTGGTCTTCGGACTCCCTTATTATACAAGAAAATCTCTTGTTGTTGTAATCGTCAACCTTCCAATTTAGATTAGTTCTTGGAATTGTTTTCACATTTGAAACAACAATCTCCAGGATGTTATCGTCCTTACTGGCAATTCTTGGAAATGCAAAACGACCTCGCCTAACAACTGCTATTTTGATTTATTATGATGTTTTTACAAAATATGAATCTAATATTTCGAATACATTATAATTATTAGATCACATATATATCTATATTACTATTGCTAACACCTATAGCAATATTACACATTATATTATAAATTAGCATATCTCGTAGCTCATAAAACATTGTATTATATTATATATTTTATATTATTAATATATCTCGTAGCCCATAACATATCAATGATTCGATTAGACAAACGTTGTTTCTGTACTTCTCCGTATTTTCTCATTTTGTGACAAATTATTTAGATCCATTTTCAACAGTTGTAATGAATAAAAAAAAAAAAATCATATCTCTAAATTATAGTAATTAAAAAAAACTCAACATTTCATTAATAACTCATTTATAAATGAATATTATATCGCTATAGAAACTCCTTGATTTTAGAGATTCTAATCCCATCTTCTTGATAAATCTTCGATCAATAGACAATAGGAATTACATATTTAATCTAAATGCTATAGATTGTAAAGATCGACTCTAGATTTTATGTATTTGGTTTACTAAACTTACTTGATTAGAATTGAAAATTATGAAATCAAACTTAAGTATTGAGTGCCTTAGAGCACGATACAGAGTACTTAAACAGGCGATATCTTCAGCTCTCTACAAACCCTTTTTATAGTTCTGATTATTAATTGTTTTGGTTAAAAACTATCCACGGTATCTATGACCGTTGAACGTAACATTGCATTGATATTGATATTAAAATATGTAAATTACAAAGTTAACGTGAGAAATTAAAATTTTTATAGTATAGTATATATAAAAGGGGTGAAAAACACAAATATTAAATACCATAATATTGAATAACAGTTGTAGTACGTTTTGTGTTAAGATTATGTGTGGATTATCATTAAATATTACCGATGAGTTGCACTTCTGTTAGAAACCGTTCCATAGGGATGTTGGGTTTTGAGTATAACGTTTCGGCTAAGTTGTATGAAATTAAGAATTTTCTTCTTTATCTATCGTATGTCCTGCATTCAGTTAAGATATGTTTTACTGACAAAGGGACGCCACAGAATGAGCAAATGGGATGGTCTTTTTTTTCATCAAGTGTAAGTAGGCGAAGCATGTGTCTTATTCTGAGATTGTTGACAACGGTCTTGTACTTTCTTGATGTGTTGACAGAAAAAAATCCATGGTTGCGTGATTCTTTAACTTTGTTAGGCTTGGTAGATTGTTTCATTTCTTCTCTCACTGATGAAATTTGTCCATTTCGATTTATTCTTTTATATAAGGAGAATAGAAGAGAGATAAGGTTATACGAAGATAAATAGGACGACTTATTTCAGGCCTCAAACTCCCAGGTAGGCTTAACTTAATAGTCAGCGGCCTTGGGAGTAACCGAATTGGTTCCCGTTTGAAAAAGCTATTTATTAAGTAGAACCGAATTGGTTCCCGTTTAAAAAAGGTATTTTATTAGGTTGAGCCGAATTGGTTCCCGTTTGTGTACAGATAACTTTTAATTTTTAATAATTGGTAAAAGATATAAATAAGATAGTATAAAATATAAATATACCTACACGGCTACACTCTATAATCTATAGCAGTTAGTAAATATATTTCAAAAAAAATTCGTGGGCCAAGTTTTAAGTGTCATTTCTATACTTTTACACTAAAAACTAAAGGAAAAAATACATACAAAATCCATTTATTTAAATGTGACTTAATATATTATGAAATTGTTTTTATTATAATTTATTTTAATTTTAATATTTTGTACCTACATCTCTAAGTGATGACTATAGTTGATTTCCAAACCAACAATTTAAAATTGTATATATTATATCATTTTTTTTTTTTTTTTTTTAACACACATTAACGCACATTTTTAACCAAGCCTACTTTTTAGTTAACAGTCCTAAGCCTGTAAAATTGAGAAGGAAAATGTGCATAATTAAATGAGAACCAATTCGGCTTAACTTAATAAAATATCTTTTTGAACGGGAACCAATTCGGCTTACCTTAATAAAATACCTTTTTTTAATGGGAACCAATTCGGCACATGGAGTTGGAGTTCGGGAACCAATTCGGTATCAGCCGCGGTCTCTTCCCCCAGCGCGAACTGCTTTGGTATCCAACAATCGCCACACAGATACCTGTTAATTGTCTTTTCTCGTTATAGGAATTCAACATAGCAGGTTACAATCTACTTAGAAGTAAGGCCTAGTGCCCAGACAATGTGCTAAACGAGGTGGTACGGGTAATCGTGAAGGTCCGTCCTAGCCTACTCCAGTACACTTTCAAAGAATGCCTGAGGACAAGATGCTTCTTTGAAATCTGGAGATCGGCGAAACTGATCCTCCTACGGAAAAAATCAAAGCCTCTTATCAGCCAACATTATACAAGCTGCTGTGTCTGATCAATTCAATCAGAAAGTTGTTTGAGAGGTTTCTGAAGGCAAGAGTCACGGAACACTTGACCCGTTAATTGGATGAAATCTATTGACGGAAGTGGTCCACTCCCAGATATTATACGCTGCGCCGATTTGGAAGGGGACTCTGATATATGAAATACATAAAAAGAAATTATTTTCTCCTCAATGCAAAATGGCGTTGTGGATCACTAGTGCCTACTGTACGGTGTCCAGCGAGGCTGTCCTGATATTGGCAGGGATTTCACCCATTCACCTACTTTCTAGGGAGAGAGCAGATATCGAGCGAACAAAAAGTAACTGGATGCCGGTAGACAAAACAAAGCAAGAAGCAAGAGCACAGGTGTACCAGCCAGCAATGGCAGACAGAATAAGGCAGCGGCGAATTATGGCCAATACCCGACGTAGAGTGATGGGTAAGAAGGAAGCATGGCCAAGTCTGGTACCACCTCATTCAGTTCTTAACCGGTCATGGGCGTTTTAATGCATACTTATACCAGTTCAAGAAAAGGAATGACGCTTTGTGCTTCTACTGTCAACACATGTGTGACGTGGAGTACATATATTTCTAGTGTGATAAATAGTGGACGCACAGGAGGGAACTTGAAGTGGCGCTCGAGCGGAAACTGACGCCGGAGATGGTTATAGATATCATTGTATAGTCCGGAACAGCGTGAGACATTGTAAAAAAGTTTGTCAAAAATATGTTGGAGAAGAAGGCAGATGAAAGCAGAAAGGATGATACAAGTTCAAGCTCAAAAACGGAATGCTTGGTTAAGACTTTAAGTATTGTGGCTAAATGGGTTAATTTGGGAAATTAGGGTCTCCTTTCTCTAGTAAATAACATGTAAATATTATTTAATCATTTGGTGTTCAAGTTAAATTGTTGTCGTGTTAAAATAAACGATGGTCAGCAAGGATAAATAGTGCGTTGCACAAACAAACAGTCCGTTTTTGCTGATCAGTTAAAAAAAGGATAGAGAATTTGAATACATATATATCAGAATGTTCATCGAATAGTTTATAAAAATACCAAAAAACGTAAAATAGCTTATAACTTTTTTGTATTTAATAGGTAAAACAAATATAATATAATATAGTAATAACTATAAAAGGAAAACATTTCTATTCCCATGACTTACACAAAACAACTATAATATAATTAAATACATCGGTAGTAGGTTTTTACGTACAAAATATTATACAAACGATTAAAATGAAAAACAAAATATGTAAATAGATGACTTGTACCGTTTAGTATTTACGACTAATCAACACCGTCCGTTACGAGTCGGTCATAGATCCAGGTTTGATAACAGAAGAAGAAGATGAAGATGATGACGTGCCCGGTGGCGGAGGGGGCACGTAAGACGATTTTTTCTTGATACGGATTTTCAGTTCTTTGCACGAACCGTTCTCCTCTTCAACGAGGCTTTCGAAACTGCGAATTCCAGAGGCGACGGTGGCGGCTGTGTTCGGATGGTCGGCCCGTTTCTTGTAGCTGCCGGTGCTCGACTGAGATTCGGCGACGGATCGGCCATCGCCCTCGTCCCTCTTGTTTAACTCGCCGTACGTCGTTTCCTGAGCGCTGTCTCCACCACCGAACCTCTTCAGCATGGACGGTGATAACCAGCTAGACCGGTTGTCCTTGCTGACGTGCTGCTGCTGCTGTTGATGATGATGATGATTCTGCTGTTTGTCAAGCGACAATAGTTTGAGCAGGGACGGCGCTAGGCCCAGTCCAATTTTTCGTTCATGGTATACGTCTGATATCGTAGGTTTCGGTTCGTAATTGAGCTGCCGCAACTGCGACGTCCTGATGTGATCCTGCAGCCCGCTGTTCACCACGTCCACGTTTGGCTGCACCTTAGACGGTGGGGGTTCCTTTTCCGATATGTCCAGCACTTGCGCTAGATACAGTGACATCTTGTCCGCGTCGTCCGATTGATGGTTTGGTTCCGTGTCCACTGCCACGATATTGTCCAAAATGTCGTTGGCCTTATGCAGTTTTTTAATCGGGGGTATAGGAGGTAGCGAGTGAGTTCCGCGGCGGAGTATGGTAGAGTGCCCGTTTCCTGTTAAATCATAAAAAAACACATTAGTCAGTTTAATCGATGTAGACCAAGACATTATTATTTGTGACATATACAATAAAAAAAGAAAGACAAGTGGGTACGTTATACTGTACATCGGGTGTTGAGCGGGTCATTATAAATTATTAAAGGTATGTTAAACTTGAATTCAATTATATATTATTGTATACAAAAAACAATCTGAGCGGAAACCGTCTATCAGCTTATATTATCAAGTGATATATTTACATATTTAAACCATATTTAATTTAAGAACATATTTTTGTTAATACCGTAAAACAGTAAAAATAGATTTATAGTACTTAGGTACCTACGAATAGATAATATTTTAAAATAAATCAAAAATGTTATTGCAATATTTTATTAAAATTCATAATATTATAAATCACATAAAAGTTTTAAGTTTCCACAAAAAATGTTTTTAGGTTATAAAATTAAAATATTATTTATTGTTTAAATAAGTATTTTGATAACACTTCTAACTTCAAAGTTCAAGTGTAATTAAATAAAAATGGGGCAATGTATTTTTACTATTTTTATATAAATACTACAAGAATAACTTTTGTGGGATCTCGTATTAAATTTTTAAGAATTTTAATTCAGCTAAGAGAGCTAATAATTTTTTATCGAAATTTATTGAAAAATATACTGATAAAGATTGAAAATTCCTCATGCCTATAAATAGCCCAAAAAGAGTAAAAAAAATTGAAAATTTTATACAGTGAAGATGATAATACAAAAATTTGGTGAAAATTTTAAGTACCATTGTAATTTTTTTGAAATACAATAAAAATCAAACATTGTTTGAAGCGAAATAAATATTTTACGAGAAAATACCGAATGCCGGAAACATTTAAACTTAAAATAATCGTAAAAAATTACTATGACTTTCTGATAGTATTTATTTTTTCATATAGAAGTTGAAAAACTAATAAAGAACCTTGAATTACATTTTTAATCTTAGATAGAAAAACGAAAATTTTTATAGCTTACAAAGTTAAAAGAACACAAGATTTTAGAAAAAAATCCTTTAATTGTTACTTATTATTTAGTAAAGATTTAATTTCCTTCAAATTTAAAAATGTTTGAACTATTTAATAATCATAAAATATTATGTTTTGCTTATTTTAACCCCTTCACTATAAACTTAAATCTACCCCTGATTGTACTTAAAAATTGTAAAAGCAAATCGTAAGTTAAAACAATGAAATTAATATATTTATTAAAAAAAATAAATATTTTACGCTCGACATACGGGATTTAACTCCAAGGATTGGTTAAGAAATTAAATTTAAACAAAATTCAAGTATTTCAAAATATCACAGTTAGTAAGCTTATAGTAGTAACTTCCAGTATTTAAACATGATTTTTTACAAATACATTGGTATTAAAATAATTGGGAAAGAAGCTGCAATCTTTTTTAAAAGTTTCTTAACTAGATTAGAAAACTACTAAAATTCATTGATAAACGCCTAAAATATTTCTTCACTTTTTTTGAATCCTAGTCATAGATTATGGTAATAGATAGCTCTCAACCATGCGACACAGGTGTTTTTATTCCCTACCTCACATAATATTTACATAATATTTATTACGCTGTTGTATACATTTTATATTTATTATTAAGATAAAAAAAAGAATAATAATATTTAAAAATAAAATATTTTGTTTTATAACGAATGTAAAATAAATGTACTAGTTTTGCTTATTTTGAGATTTATATATTATAATTAATTTAAAATTCATATTATAAAGAGTGGCTGAAATAATTGTTATTTGTTAAGTTTCCAAAAATTTTAATAATTATGATTTTTTCATCAAGATTTACTTCAAGGAAAAAATCAAAACATCCTTATAAGCGTCTATTTTTAAACAACCATTAAGCTTGACCAATACATAAACGCAATAAACCATACAATCTAAAAAAATTATTCTTATGAGTTATGACTTATTAATTATGAATATTCAATAAACTCTCAGTCCGTGGCTTATATGTAGCAATAGCATTAACAACATATAATGTAATAAAGTAGCTAACAGCATAATAATCATAAATATATGAAGAAAATGAGCGAAAAATTCGATTATACGAGTATACTTAACTATAATGTGGTTATTAAAATTTAATACTTAGGTAATGTGTATTGTGTATACTTTTATAAATTATTTATATAGGAACCTAAAATTTCAGACGTTCATTGTATATCGTATTTACAGTTTAATCATTCACCTTGACGAAAATTATTCCTTTATTTCTTTGATTTACTTTCAATATTTAATTATAATACGTCTTGAACCTGTATAATTATAACAGTCCCACCAGGCGTAGTTCGTGCGAATAAAAAATTAGGTACAATAATGTTAGATAGAACATTGACATTTTTTAGTGTAGGTGTTAAGCGATTATAAGTAAAATTAATAATTCAATTGTTTATTAACCAAGAGAATTGAAATTATAATTAAAACCTATCCCACAATGTACTCTATCAATCTATCATTGACATAAAAAAAAAAAAAAAAACAAAACCATTGGATAAGTAGTTTTAGAAATCATTGGTTAAAAAGATTCTCATTTTTATATATAAATACTAAATACAAATGTGATATGTTAATTGTTAATGCATGATGAGTATGGTCAGATAGTTAGTTGGTTAAAAATAAATAAGTAATGCAACATATCTTGTTGAATTTATTAATTTAAAATTTTTTAAATTACTAACCTTCCCAATCTGTTGCAGAGCTAGCTGAACTTGATGAGTCTGGTCTGGCGGGAGTAGAGTATAAATTTCTGATTTTAGTTTGGTGTGCTAAAGTTTTGCTTAATGCATCCCCTAATCCCGGAACTGGTGGTGATGGTGTAAATGCAGCATCACTTTCCCCGCCACCATTAGTACCACCTGATCTGCGGCTCAATATTGTTGGCATGATCAACACTCCAGTAGAATTCTAATGTAAAATAAGTATATATAAATATATAAAATTATTCAAAATAAATACAATAATATGCACATTATATTTTAAAAGAAAATTGATCTAAGCTAATAATTTACCTTAGTGATTTGAGTGGACGCATCTGAGGCAGTTCTACCATCTGGTTCTCCTCTTTTTCTCACATAACTGGTAAACGCTCCTGATCCATTACTACCAGACACTCGCAGTGCATTTGTTAAAATGGGCTTTAATGGAGAATCTTTTTGCCTTTCGTCTTCAACAGTTATTACACTTTCAAGTGAACTTGATGAACACAAAGAAAGACTTTTGGGTGCTTCTTGTGTATCTGTACATTTTAAAATAATAATTATCAATTTAATATGGTAAAAAATTGACAAAAATAATACAATTAAATAGATATAATGCATATTTACCAAATAAGGCTAACAGAGCTTGAAGAACAAATTGAATACTACGTTTATTAGCTTGTTTACCAGTACGTAGTGTAACTTCGTCCATTCCAACTTCAATTAAATCAAAACCTAAAAAAACAGATTTGACTAGTTAAAACTGTAAAAATAAAATAACCATGCATGCCAGTATTTACCTAGAGATGCTAAAAGCTCGTGACATCCAGGAGTGTGCCATAATTTAACGTTAACTGGCATCTCAACTGACTGTTCATTTTCAGATAAAAGTCTATTATTTAATTGTTCGACTACATGCCTTATGACAGCAATTACATCATCCGTAACATCAGATGTCAATATTAATTTTGAAATTGCACTTAATGTAGTACTGTTTAAACCTAATAATATAAAAACGTTTTAAAAATTTTCTGAAGTCGCTTCAGATATTATGAAATAGTATATTATAATACAGGGTCACAGGGGTGGCCAACATGAATAGGTTTGCGAGACATATAGATAAATACAATGATACCAAGAGCTAAAATGTTTATATAATTTGATAATTTTTTATAAGCTAATGCTTAAAAATTAAAATTCATAATATTTAGTAAATTTTGATTTTGTAAATAAGATGCGAGCCGCATCTGACAATGAAGAAAACCACATGCGACTCACAAGCCGCAAGTTGGCCACCTATGTTATAATGTTCCCATTAATTAAATATTTAGACAAATAGGTAATAAAAAAAGGAGTCTAGAAGGCCCTTATTTTACAGCATAAAGATTAAAGGTTAATAACATAGTGTTATATGTTACATATCGACTATGTTATCATGACAACATTTTAGATTCTGAACGGAGTAATGAATGTATTAATTTTACAATGATGTGTGTTTTTTTTTTTTGGTGTCTGTGTACAGCATAAGTAGTCGAAATAATGCTTCAATTTCAAACTTCGGAGGTGGTTTCCGATGGCAAGGTGAATATCCTTGGTGCATTATAGAGATAAAAAGTAAACATTTTCCAACAGTTTTCAAAAAAATCGAGAAAAACAAAAAAAAAAAAATGACGGAAAAACGGTAATTTTTACGCAAAACTATATAAATTTTGATATAGTTGTAATTCAAAAACTAATCACTGAAATTACTTGAAATTTTCATCAAATGTTTATGTTATTGTTATCTATATACAGTTTAATTTTCAAAATTTTTTGACTTTTTTGAGTTATTTATAGACCACTAAAATTTATCGATTTTTATGAGAATTTTTTTTTGAAGTGTCAATAAAAAAAATGTTGGATGACAAAAAATGTTGAAAATTTAATACAAGGTTCCTTATGAGTTGTTCTTATTGTAGTTAAAAAAATTAAAAATCGTTAGTCACAAATTTTTTTTTATAAACGTTTATAGTTCAAATATTTACGAAATCTATCGAAAACGCCAAAATTTGTAAGTAATTTTGAAGTTAAAAAACCATAAAATTTTTTGTGTTTATAACTAAGAATTAAAAATACTACACTATGTTGTCTCTAAGTTTTCCTTCAAGTATCTATAGTAAAAACTCAAAGCATCATTATAGAAAAATTTTAAGTGCGTTTGAATTTAAAATTTTTACGAAATGGCGTAACGATAACGATTTATTTTTAAACGATTTTAAATATTTGTTAATTTTCAAAATGTATAAGTCGTAGATACTTGAAAATTTTACCAGTTATTTAGATTAGCATTTTCTTTACATGATTTAATTTTCAAAATATTTTGACTTTTTTGAGCTATTTATAGACAACTGAAATTTTCAAATTTTCTGAAAATTTTTTTTTGAAGTGTCGATAAAATTTTTTTGGCCCAATTAAAATACTTGAACATTTAATACAAAGTTCATCATAAGTTATTCTTATAGTGATCAAAATTTTAAGAATACATAAGCACAATTTTTTTTTATTAGCATTTGAAGTTCAAATATTGACAAAAATTTGTCAAAACCATGAATATTTGCAAACTATTTTGTAGGTATAATTCATAAAAATTAATAATTAAATGATTAACCATGACTTTTGCAAATGTGTCCTAATTGAAAAATAAAATATTTGTTTCAAAATAGAATGTATGACAATATTTAAATATGATATATCCTAGACTGACAAATCATCCCCATTCAGAATCGTTTTTCGTATACAATGATACCTATCATTGCATTCAAATTTAACCTACCCTAGTCCGAGGTTCACCCCACCCTCTAATATACAGCAGAGCGGTACCCACTTGCCCGCTTTTTTTTGTTCACTTGTTACAATTTACCACAAGAGTACTTTAGAAAGGGTACGTATTGCATCCCTTATTATTAAAAAAAAATTTTTTTAAAGACTTTTTTTTTATGGCAGAAATGTAGTCACTAGACAGATTCTTACTTCAGAACACAAATTAAATTTAATTACCCACATTTAAATATATTATATAAATAATGTAACTCAAAATTATACATTAAAATCCAGTCGATGTGGAAATATTCTGGGTAGAGTTTACTATTAAAAATTGATTAATGTTTTGAAATTTAAACTATAATAATGTACCTACTACCTACTTATTTTATTTATACTAATGCTTGATGCTATCTGATGATATAATTTAAAATTAATAAATTAGTTTTCTTATAGTTCAAATTAGTAGGATATGCATTACATTTTTTAAATTAAATATTTTAATCAATTAATGATATTAAGTAAATTAATAACAAATTAAAGATACTAATTACTAAATTTATATACCAATAAAAAGTTAGGAATATCTTATTTTACAAAATATAAATAAAAACATACCAAGTAACGCTTGTAAACTAGCACTGCATTGAGTTAACCTGTCTTCGGGATCACTTTGAGGGAAGAATACTGAAGATGGTATACCATTAGCAGCAGGTTCAAAACGAAATCCAACTGATTGCAGAAGTTCTTTCCACCCAGTAACATCACCAACCTTTAAGAAACATTAAATTAAAAATATTATTACAGTTCTATTACATTATCTTGCAATTGTATAAATATATTTATTAATTTCGTTAAAATTAAAATGTTAAAAATATATTATTAGCATGCTGTTTATTTTCTCTCTGGCTAATGCATAACATAAACAAAACTCAACCATGCAACTTCATTTTTTTTTTTTTTTTTTGAGAATACCATATACATTTGTCTAAATATTGTTTTAAAACAATTTAATTTACATTAAAATGTATAAAATAATTATTTTAAACCGAATATCAAGCCAAAAAATAATAAAATATAAAACCAATATACTAAATCCTTAAATATATTATTCTTTATTATAATTTGAACACAAAATTATTTAAAAATCATAAAAAAACAATTTTATGTGAAAATGTCTTATCTAAGTACCTAGCATATGAAGTTTGAGAAAGAAAACTAATTGTTTAAATCCATTAAGAAATTTGATAACTTATTTAAAAAAAGTTTTTACTACATACTTTATTTTCAATGCTCTTTTGAGTGGTGTACATTGCATTTTTCTGTCCACGATGAATACGTTGCAAAGATTTTTCAACCTGGACATATTAAAACACAAAATAAACTTAAAATTTTTTCTTTTTTTTAATAAAAATTATAATAGTAATAAATATAAATACCAGGTGAAGAGTAACTCTTAAAGCGTCTCTACATCGGTCAGGTGTTTTTAATAGTTCACATAAAGCTTGTCCCATTAATGCAACTTTGCTTGATAAACGTACATCTGAACCAATTAAAAAATATCCAGCCCAGTTTGATGGATGAGAAAAATGTTTTGTGTGTTGAACTGTTTGCATTGCATCACATAACGCACGGCAAACTCTTGATCCCTTATTAATGTTATAATTTATAATGATGATGAATTAAAACAAATTTAATGAAGTAATTACTTGTAATAAAGCAGAGTAAAACGCTCTTAATAAAATCTTAGCAGCAGTACTTGGCACTGGCCACAAAGATACAAGTATACATTGAGCTCCAGCCATGAGCAAACCATTGGTAAGGTCGTATAGTCCTTTTGATGTAGCCCAATCATCTCTTGCATGTGACCAACTTAATACTACTAGTCGTGCATTTAATTTAAGAGATAATAAATCTTCTGTAGTTAATAATACTTCGGATATATTCATATCAGACTGTGGAGTAGTTTCCTACAAATATATAATTACTGATTAGATAAACTATCAAATATATTATAATAAGACATAAATTAGAAAAATATTATTACACTTTCATCTGGAGATAAAATTATGGCTGATAATTCCCAACTAACATGGGTAGCTAAATGAATGCACTCTGCTTTGACTAGTTGTTCTAAAATGTTATGTTTATTTGCCTAAAAATAAAATATTAAATAATGATTTATTCTATCGTTATAATTGTTATAAATATTTAAATTTTATCTACTTGTGCTTTAATTAAAGGTATTGTTTGTAACATTTCAGCCACCATACTAGCTTCTTGTTCTGTATGTGGGAGTTCATTTAAACTAAGTTGTTCATTAACACAATTTGGGAGTAATGGGTTACCAACCACAAGTGTGGTCATATTTGAAGATTCATTAACTCCAGCTTTCTTTTGTGCTCTAAAATAAATTAAATATTTTTTCATATTGATTACAAAATTATTTAAGGCAGATTAATGGTCTTACAATACATATTTATTCTTTACATCTATTTACTATAAAAGTATTGAATTTGAATTTAAAATAATATATTTTCTCATGCATAACCTTGTTCAGTTAACTTTATAATTCAAATTGCATAGTTCATAGTATAAAAATGTAAATCCACGAAAAAGTTAGTTTGATATCTAAAATTTTGTATAAGACATAATACCAACCTTTGATTTTCCTTAAATTTCATTAAAGAAGGTGTAACGAGTAAGCTGAAATTTTCACTTAAGTATTCTCCAGATAAATGACTATCGTCATCTATTTTTGGGTGTAACATTGAAAATGGCACCAACAATAAATCTTGTTCAAGAACTAATAATAATTCTTTTCTACCTGAACAACCTTTATTACTATGAGATGCTAAATAAAAAATAAAAAATATATTAAAAATAAATGCAAATTGATATGTTTATCATTTTTTTCAGTTTTAATAATTACCACATGGTGCAAAAAGAAAATCTTCAAAAGGAGCTATTAGTAATTCGTATAATTTGTTTAGACTATCAGGAATTAGCCATGCTTTTGTTTTTTTTGCTCTTACGCTACCTGGTCGACTAGCAGAACCAACTGTACTTCCACCTAAGCTTCCAACACTATTATATAAAAGACAATTATTATTAGTTGTTTTTCATACAATAAGATTGTAAGTAAAAATAAATACCTGAACAAACTGCTTAAACTGTAATTACTTGAGTTATATAAATGGTTTCGATTGACCATTCTTAAATAACTACGCTCATTTTCTTGAGCTAGTCTATCTCCTAGTTCGTCTAAGTGACAAGCTTCATTCAAATCTGAATCAATTCTAAAATACAAAAACCATCAATTATGTTTATGTGTGCTTAACATAATATATAAACTTATTTGTACATTGGTTGCTGAACATTGAGTGTATTTTTCACATCTTTGAGATACTGTGTCAATAGATTATCTATGCCATTTTCAGTTTGAATTAAAGTTTCGTGGAATTTAACAACACCTAAATGATAAATAAATTTGTATGAACACTTTGCTAGGTAAAAATTGAACAGGCTTACCTTTATTTGGAATAATGAGCCAAGAAAACAAATAACCAGATGCTATACTGAAGTAGAGAACTGAAGCTTTTTGTTTATTTACAATATCAAGTATACTGTCTACAGAATTTATTTTATGGTAATCCGGAGAAGATTTGATTCTCGTATTATGACTAGAAATTTTTGCTCTAATACGATATTTTTCTGTAACTAAAAGAGCTTCCTCACATCTATTTAGTTGCACTAACACAGTCTAAAAATAAATAAAATGTATTATTATTTATACAGTATGCTCCAACGCATTACACATAATATGTTAAATATTTTAATGATGAACAAACTATTAAAAATATTTTCTATAACAAACAATTTAAACAAAATAATTGATTTGACAAATATTTCTTTGAATAATATGTTCTAATTTAAACAATATTTCACTTTTTCTATGAACCAAGGAAATTATTTTTAGGTAACTGGAAGATATTCAATATTCATTACTTTTTAATTTTTTAAGATTTATAAATGGAATATTTAAAAAAATATCATAAATAAAAATAAAGCTATAGAAATAGGGCTATTATAAAACAAGTATTAATTTGAAACAGAAAAAATTAAACATAGATACAAATATAAGACTTAAATTGAACAATTAATTTGTTATACGATGTACAAATTTAATAAATTAATTTTAAATTTAAATGACTAATGATTAACTAATAGCCTAAAATTTGAATAAAATTAAATTTATATCAAAATTCTCAAAAAAAATTATTCTACATTAAAATATATAATTAAAAATGTACACTATCATTAAAAAAAATAATAATAAAAAATAAAATAAGATTAATTATTATACTAAAAAATGTTTGATAACTTGTTTTATAATGAGTTCAAATAATAGCATTAATACTTTTTGAGAAAATTAGTGTGCACTGTTAAAAGAATTAACCAATCAAGTTTTAATAAACTTACTTGTAAAGCTTGGTAACATTCCAATCTTAGTTGAGTAATAGAATGAGAATGTTCTAAAGTAATAGTGTTAAGAGCGTTGTCTAACAATTCAGACGCTTGTTCTAAATGACCTCTAGCAGCATCAGACTGTCCATCAGCTAATAATGCCATTCCAAGTTTATATCTAATGCAGCCTTCTTCATCTGGTTTTCCTGTCATATCAATACTTTGTAGAGCTTGTGTGAGATATATGACTGCTTGGCTGGTATGCCCTAATGTATGATGCAATGATCCTAAACTTCCATATGCAGCAGCCTTTGCTGTTTTTTCATCAATTTGACTAGCTATTGACAAATGCTCTTCTTGATATTTAATAGCCTCATTTAAGTTTCCTAAAATTTCTTCTACATTTCCAATGTTTCCGTATGCTCTGCATTGCAATAACGGTTGATTAAGTTCTTTGCCAATTTCTAAATCTAATTTATGGTAGTGTAGAGCCACACTATTTTGAGCCATTAACTGATGTGCATATCCAAGAGCAGATGCTGCGTTTGCTTCAATATTTCTATCACCTAATTCTCTAGCTATTGATATTTGATTTTGCAAACAGGATACTGCTTGTTGGTAATTACCCATCATGACATGATTGGAACCCAATTCACCATATGCAGAAGCTTTCATCTCTGAGTTATTAAGTTCATGAGCAATGACTAGTATTTTTTCAAAACAAACAAGACTTTGATCAAGCTGTCCAATTCGTCTGTATGATTGACCTAGACAACCATATGCTTTTTCGAGGTCTCGTAAGTTTTGAAGTTGTACAGCAATAGTTAAAAAATGTTCATGACATTTAACAGCTTCATCAAAATCTCCTAATGCATCATAACAATCGCCAAGATTTCCAAACGCTCGACCCTGTTAATTAAAATAATAATTAAAAATAAATAAAACTAATTGCTTTTAATTAATTTATTATATTTACTTTATCTATTAAAGATGTATGAGATGACAACTGTTCTAGAGTAGCTAATTGTTGTTCAAAATATCCAATTGCTCCTTCGTAAATTCCCATATTCATCCTTGCTATACCTATATTACATAAATAGTCAAACATTTTTCAAATATGCAATAATACATTTTATATTTTCTGAATAATACCTAAATTTCCAAAAGCTTCAGCTTCAATTGCATTATCCCTCAGTTCTTTTGCTCTTTCGAGCTGTAATTGGTAACATTTTATTGCATTGGTATAATTTCTAAGAGACATATACACTGCTCCAATATGTCCATGAGCACAGCACTCACCTTTTAAATCATTTACTTCTTGTCTTAGAGCCAATTCCTGAAAATATAAACCGAAACAATAAATAGTATTCAATACAATATATTGTATATACATCATACTTGGCAATGGTAAGATAATGCCTTGTCATAACATTTTATATATCTGTTAGCTAGTCCTAAAGAACTGCAAGCTGCTGCTTCCATATTTGTATCTCTAATTTGTCTGGCTAACGTGAATTGTCGATGATACATTTTGAGGGCCTCTTCTGTATCATTCATTTTAATAAGTATATCTCCAATATTACCTAAAGCACGGAGTTTTGCTTGAAGACTTTTCGTCATATGTGATATAGCTGAAAAAAAAAATGATAATTATAATAAAGAAATATTTTTGGGTTTTAAAAAAATTACCTAAAAAGTACTTTTGACATTCTAATGATGTTTCAAGATTGCCTAATGCTAAATGAGCAAGACCTAAATTACAATAAGCTCGGCCCATATTCATTTTATCTTGGAGATCTTTGGCCAAAGATAAATCTTGATCATAATATCTCACAGCTTCTCGATAATTACCCAAACAGTAATGAGCATAACCCAAAAAATGACAAGCTTTTGCTTCTCCTTCAATGTCATGTAATTCCTTCAAAATCAATTATCAATAAGTATTAAATATTATTAAATACTAAAAAAAAGTTTACCTGAGATAACATTAGATAGTTTTCATAGTATGGAATGGCTTGCAAAAAGTCACTTCGTGTGCTTAAGCAATTGGCGAGGTTCAATAAAGCACAAGCTTCTCCAGCTGTATCTTTCAATTCTCTAGCAATATTTAGATGAGCTCTATAATGTAAAAGAGCCATTTCGAATGCTCCTAAAGATTGATAGGCTACTGCTAGATTTCCATGAGTAGATGCTTCAGAATTTCGGTCCTTAACTTCTTTTGATATTGTTAATTCTTGTTTATGATATTTAATTGCCTAATTAAATATATTTTATTATTTAATCTCTATTAAAATACTATGATATAATCATTTCAGTTTTTACCTGTTCATAGAAACCCATAGCGCTATAAGCATTTCCTATATTTCCAAATGCTCTCCCCATAGCAGCTCGGTCGTGTAAAGACTTGGCAATATTTAAATGAGCATGGTGAAGTTTTAATGCAGACTCGTGAGCCCCAAGTAACTGATATACAATACCCAAATTTGAACATGCTCTACCTTCTCCTACTTTATCATGTGTATTTAATGCCATGTCTAATTGTTTTTCATGCCAATGTTTAGCCTGAAAATTGCATAATGTTTGATTAATTAATTGGAAATAAGTTTTATCATATTGAAAAATTTACTTGAGAATAGTTTCCTGCACATCTTGCTGCATGACCAAGTCCAGCATATGCTCTGGCTTCAATCACTTTGTCTCCAAGTTCTTGTGCAAGTCTTAAGACATTTTCATGATAATTAATAGCTTGAGTAAAATTACGCCTATAGTGATATGATGAACCTAAGTTGCTATAAGCTCTTGCTTCTTCAACCTTAACAGATGAAATAAAATAGATCATAGAAATTGAAACTAAATAATAAAATTATATTTTACTTTATTTCCTAATTTTTTTGATAACTTTAAATGCTGCATATGACAGTCCAATGCACTTTCAAATTCGCCCATAGCTAAATAAACAGCACCGACATTTCCAATCTCTCTAGCTTCTTGAAGAACTTCCCCAATTTGTTTAACTAACTGTACACATTGTTTATGTGATGCTAAAGCATTTGGATAATCACCAATTGCAGTATACACATGACCTAATTAACAAATTATATAAAGTTTTAATTAATCTTTATTAAAAACCAAAACATAAGTTTAGTTTAGTAATACATAATATAATTATGAATAACTTTTTTTTTAATTTGTTTTAATTTATGACTCTCATATTTTATAATGAATATGATTATTACGTAAAATAAATTAAAATGTGAAACATAATTTTTATTACATATGTATTAAAAATTAAAAATAATTAGTGACTTACCCAAACTAGTAAGAGCAGATGCAGCAGCTTTCATTTCTCTGGCTTTCATCGCAAAAACTAATTGGTATCTATGCGCTGTAAGTGCTTCTTTGTAACTTCCTTTACTAAAATAAGCTGATCCTAAATTACCATGAGCTCGACTTTCTCCAGCTATATCTTTTAAAGACTTAGCTACTAATAAATCTTGTTGCATGTATCCAATTGCCTATGTTAAAGTAGCTTAGATCATTATAGATGAATTTATTAAGATTGAAATTAATTTTAATATGAACATACTTTATCTAAAGAATTTAGTGCCCAATAAGCTGAAGATAATGCAGAAAACACAGAACCTCTTAACTTAGCACTACAAGTTCCTATTCTAAGTGCCGATTCTAAGACAACTACAGCCACTGAATACTGTCCAGCTGCTAATAATTCTTGACCTATCACAGACATGACGAGAAATGGAGATTTGTCCAATGTTATTCCATTATGATTAATGCTTTGTAACTGTTCAAATGTAGGCTCTAATACACCTATTAAACATAGAATGTAATAAGTAAAAATACATATTATTTAAAAATAAGATATATTTTTTGCACTATTACCTCTAAGAGGAGACTTTATAGAAGCCTCGATAAGACCAGCTAATAGCTGAGTAGATTTTGGCTCAATGGATAGCCCTGTACTAAATACTGCAAGAGCATCTCCATGCCTCCCCAAACATTGTAGAGCAACACCCTCTCGGTAATGTGCCTTTGGCCAACTAGGATTGACCTGGCGGGCACAAGTGGCATCATGTAGTGCTTCTGTAAACCTGCCCAACTTGAGCAGAGCTGCAGACCGATTGGAATATAGAATGTGGTTGTCAGGATAGTGACGTAGAGCTTCACTATACAATTGTATAGCTCGCGCATAGTCTCCAGATTCACATGCAGCGTTTGATTCGCGCACTTTTTCCATAAAACCTTCTTCACCACACCCATTTTCTGGCTCCGCCTAAACAAAAATAAAAATATATTCAAATTATTTTAAAGTAAATTTATTAAGTAATTTCTTTCAATTAAAATAATTACCTCAGATAGGTCTCTTTGTGGCATGATTTTGACAACATTTCTATATTCACATATCTGTAGATATTTTTACTCTAAAGACATTAATTAAAAATAAAACATGTTACTAATAAATACAATTTATAATTTTCTGAAAATAAAATAATAGAAATCAATTAGGTAAAGAAAAATAAGATATTTATATGGTATTTTATTTTTTACAAATCATTAATAACCTAACCTAATAAATTGTATTTTAATTATGGATGTTAAATTATCTATTTACATTTTTTAATAAAAATAGATAGTAAGATATTATGTAAAAGACTTTATATTTGATTATGACACAAAAGTACCTAACCAAAATGTATAGCTTTGATTAGAAATTGAGTTTGAATTGCTTTACTAATTAAATTAGTGCCTTGTCATTGAGACCAAAGGCCAAGTCTACTTAAAAGATCTAAAAAATAATAGTTTATTACTTATGTTATAAAAAGGGGTCATACATAGACATATTTTCTCATGTACTTATTAACTGTATTTAATAATTAATAATAAATTCAAATTTGTACCAAGTTTTAACCAATGTCTACTTATTCATTATTTTATATTTAAAGATAAATATGTATATAGGTTTAAAAATTTGAAACACATACATTTATTTTCATTTAACAAATTACAGTTAAATGTTGTTATTCAACAAAATAGAAATTAATTTTGTGGTATCCAGAATAATATAGTAGTATGCTAGGTATTTGACAATTATTATAAATTGACTGATTAATTGTATTTATCCAAGTTATAAGTCTAGTGAAAGTATATCAGTTATCTAAACGAGAATACTTAATTTAAGCAGGTAGGTACCAACATTATAACACGTAAATAATAATTTTAAATTAATTTTAGTCGCAAGATTTCAGTAATATTATGAGACATAAGTTTCGAATTAATATGAATATAATATGATACATGTATCATTTAAACAGGAAAATGAAAATAATTATTTCCGGTAAGAAAAATTGACCACAGATCATCAAACATTCAGCTTAAAGGCGGTAAAAATCAAAAAATATTTCTTCGTAGTGCTCGTACACATCACTATGAAAGAATAGAAGCCATAAAACCCCGACAAATATTAACCCATAGGTTTCGGAGCGCTATTTACAACGGTCGTAAACGGATAGATTAGGAGATCTGGAGTCATCGGGTAATAAATATCATAATATGGGGTTGTACAGACTGGTGTGAAAAATACCATAAGATCATCGTCAACTTACTCAGTATTCCGGGATGTAACAATTTATCCGGTACATATTTATCTTAATCTATTATGCATGTCGTGAACTCGTGAATTGCGATTATCTACATCACGGTACAATAAAATTATATTGCGGCGGAGACTTTAACGGCACGCCGCATTCATATTATTATTTAACGTTATCGTAAAATCCTATTGACATTACGAGGGCTGCGCGTGATCATCATCGCCGTCCAAGCGCTCAACGCACACACGTACACACACGCACGGTCACATCGACACAAAACATACACGTTCGGGCAACCAAGCGCCTCGGAGGAACGTAGACGGCGGACTGCAGTAGAATTGTTGCTCCTATTACAGTCGGTTCTCTCCCGACGACGGTCGTCTCCTCTTCGCCGGCTCGGCGACGGTCTTGTAGAACGGCCGTTACCGCGGTCGCGGTGGCTGCGGCAGCCGTGTTGTTCACTATTTTTGAAGGCGTTGGTGGTGGTGGTGGTAACGCGATCCGGTCCTAATCGGCGACGCGGTAGTGGGGACGACGAGCGGCCGTCGTCGTGATCTCTCTCCGTGAGGGAAGGGGGGAGGGTACAAGCGAAAAAAAAAACGTTGTGTGTGCCGGGCACGAAAACGCGTCGCATTCCGATGTCGGCCATATTGGAATGCGGTCGACTGACCCCGCAAACGGATCCTCCCTTTAACCTTGATTCGCCCGGGTGGCGGCGTAAAGCCGACGAATTTTACACACACATACAAGCGCGCGCGTATACGTATTGTGCGCGGTGAACAGAACGCATGCTTGATCATTAATTTAAATATCTTATTAAGATCGTCGGTACAGATATCATTGAGGGTCGCCCGTCGTCGCGGGAACGCCGCCGCGCTGTGAGACGACGAGCGCGAAGGACGGTACGATCCTTGCGCGTAGTCGGTTTTTTTCTTCGTGTTTCGCTTTTCATATTCCATGCAATTTCGGTGTTTATAGAGGCTAGAAAAATTGAAACTAAACAGGTCTCCGCAGTAGACAGCATCTCTCTCTCATTAGTCTTACTCGACGATACATCACAGCCACCCGCACAACACCCATGTCCGATATTTATCCTCGCGTTATAATCCCGAAATTCCTAGAAAATAAAATTTAAAAAATAAATAATCATTATTAAGAGATTAAGAGGAATATGTTATGTTAGTTATGATAAAATATATTAAGACTAAAAATAAGTTAACATTTTAAATCAACGAGAAAAAAAAAGTTAATTTAAATTAGACCTAATGCCCTAATGATGTAGGATTTACTGTTAAATATAAACATAACATATGGTATAACCTATAATACATAGCTACCGAAAAATTACTATTTGCCGTACGAAATGATTTGAAATTACGGTCATTTTTGGAGAAACACAATTTTTATGCAACTTTTACAATTATATATTTAAAAAAAATTTGTACAGAATTTTTTCAGGAACCTATTATAGATTTTGAAGGGACTTTAACAGCTTCACTCAAATTCTACGTTCCCCACTCATATTGCGTCCAAGATTATCGTGTATCCAGTGTACCACCCGTCGGCTATTTTAATAATTAAATGTTCTGTCGCGTGCCAACAAATTATAGTAATAATCGTTTCTTATAAGTTATAATATTGTTATTTTTGATACGCAACGATCTGACCGCCCATAACAATATAACAAGTATGAGTACCAAGTATTTAAAATATTAGGCGTGAGCGAATCACGATGTCACACGCGTTGTGAATATTCCACATCATATTTATAGAATTAGGTTCCAACAAGGCTACAGCAGTTGTGGTTTGACAAATTCTATATCTAAACTTATAATTTATACTGCAGAGATCTAACTTAAAATATATGTATCTATACGTGTTTATTGTATGTATAACAGGTACTTACATATCACTATCATATACTCATATACCGAAACACGACAGCTTTTCTCGGGTATCTGAAAATGGTGTAAATGTGTGATGCGTATATACTATTTATAATAGATATACACGTTTATTATAGAGGTGTGCGCGTATAAAATGATATACATAAGTAACAACGCCGGTCCGCGGACCGCTTCAGAACACGATTTAGTGTTCCAAACACCTTATAAAAATAATAATTTATAAAAACTATGGTTTTTATCTAGACGTCTTGTGTATAAAATGTAAACCTATCAGACCGTGTATGCACGTAAGACGTTTAAAAATATAATTAAAAAACGAACTATGTGTTTTTTTTTTATTTTGTTAATTAATTTCCCTCATTCAAAATATGTAATATTCGTGTGGCTTTAATTACCTAAAGATATTCTTTAAAGATCGTTTACAGCTATATAACACCTTTATATATCTGTATGATATATTGACATGGGCACATGGCTATATATATAATATATTAATATATTACAGTATACATATATATATAATCGTATATTACGAATTGCATATTTTCATAGTATCAATAGATTACCGTTGATAACATAACCAAAATTAAGTTAATATACGTATGTAATTATTGTTAGTCGAAATCATTTCGATAAATTTTAAAAACTAATTTGTCATCTGTTTAAAAAATTTAAACGGTTTTTATAGAAACACAATTTTTATAACCAGCTGTGTTATAATAATTAATACATATTTATATTGTTTATTTTAAGTTGTAATAGATTTAACCATGGTTTTTATAGGCTAAATTATCCATAGAATAACAAATGTTACGATGTTACATATATTTAGTTTTTCACGCTCGAAGTACGCAAATTATTTATATTCTCAAGTTATTTATTACCTACCTTAAAGTTCTTAAATCTAAATTAAAATTAAATTCAATAAGTGTTGTAAAATTATTATTATTTATTTAATATAAGCACATAAATAATATCGGTAGTTGGTACCTACCTACATATACACACCTATGTATATAATACATATTGTAGGTATATTTCATTATGAATAACATGATATTTATACTAATTGAAATAGGTAAATTTACTATTTATAATACCTTCAGTAATATAATTTAAACGACAGACATTTCTTTCGTTTATAAAATATCATTATATTTTCTATTATTTACATTTTACATACATATAAATAATAAATATATAAATAACACATATATAAACAGCTAGATATAATATGAAGAATCGTTGGTTAATGATTTGAAATGGCAATACGCTCAAATAACTCGAAAATATAAATATCAATATATATGTATACTATTGACATTAATGTTAGTTATCCTAAGAATTAAAAAGGAAAAGACAATGTATTACTTTTTATTTGCATATTAATGTATTACCATTTTATTAGGCGTTTGAATTATATTTTAAATAAAACCATTTATTAAATTTTTTTGATTTAATGCTGTTTTTCTGATATATATTTAGATATTCTTCATATATTGTAGTAATTTACTACTTAGACACTTAGTAGCATATATGCACATATTATAAAATGGTCAAATAAATATAGTTTTTTTAGAAAATGTGATTAATAACATTAACGAAAAACATTTTTTTAGATAAAAATTATACAAGTATAATATCAAAATAATATTAATTTCTCAGAAAAAAAAAAAATATTTAATAAAGAATTAGAATTGTTAGTGGTTTATTCAAAATATAGTTATAATCTAATACTAATATAATTGAGATATTTAAGTATATTATACTATACCATCTTAAATAGGTTTAAAATTAAATTATGAGAAAAATAATCTTTAAATGGTTTATTTAAATATTTTGAAAATATTAAATTTCTCTTTTATTTTAAGCTTATTTGCATAATTTAAATTTTGATAACATATAAAATAGCAAATAAATCTGGGCAATATTTTTCAGTCTTTACCAATAGCAAAAATAAATTTTTATTATTAAGTGTTATATCTTGTATTTTTGATTAAAATTTGTTATTTTGTAACTTACTGACTATAATTATAGTAGATATTATGTTAGTCATGTTTTTGACTTTTGTCACTGTTTCCATGTAATGCATTATGTTATAATAGGACATAACTATAAGTTATTTTTTCAATTACCTTGTTTATTACTTTTTATACCTAATAAAGTAATAAGTACCTATTATAATCTAGCACAATTATAAAAAGAAATGTGAATTTATGTGTTCTTATGAATTATTAAATATTTGGAAAATACGCATACCTATTACAGTGTTAACTATAAATAAAGTAAAACAAGAAAACTCACTCTATATATATATATATATATATGAAATTTATAGTTAGATGTCATCATTGATGATGTTAGATAGGTATAACATATATGTATATATTATTTTGTCAGTTATATTAAGTCTCAACAATACTGCACGTACTTATACTTAAATGTTCATTAAAAATGAATAAAATTCCAAATGAAATATTATTATACATATAATTTATAAGTATTGGATAAGCTGAATAAATGGATAAAAAACTTACCTATCACGAAAATACAGTTAGGTATACATCTGTATATAGCAACTAATACAGTAGATAATACCAAATAATAAGTATTAAGTATAGGTACATGCTTATTATGTAGATATTAGAAAATGGATGATTGAATACCTACATCTATATGTAATATGCATTCATAACATACCTATATGCATTTGTAAATAATATAACTGAAATACAAGTTTCATTGACGTGGTATATGAAAAAAATACGATTACCGTATTTGCATGTAATGAAATACCTAAACGTTATAGGTTTATTATGACATATTCCCACGGTAAATTTTACGTTGCACGAACATTGACGTGTATATGAATTTAATTTTAAGTATATTTAGTATTTAATATTACATGATAATATGAGATGATCCTTCTATAGTATTCTACAACTGATAATACCTATGGATATTATGATGAGACTACGTATAATACGACTTATTCTTAACATAATGATTTAAAATTCTGATTTTAATTCTCGGTCTTGTTTTATTGAACCACGGTTACGTGTTGGCAATCTATACAAGTTATATCAGTCAGTAAACAAGCGTTTAAAATACAAGAATCGTAAATTTTTGCTTTTGTTATGAATTTATGATTAATTAATAGTGGTACAATAATAATTCCGATACTTGTATGTAAAAAGCCAATAAGATATATAGGTAGGTACTTATAAAATAAGTTTGCCGTTTAAAACTTAATTCATCTCTCAAAGGTTTTTGATAGTGAAATCATTTTATAGATATATATACTTGATATTTGTAGATACTAGATTTTGCAGATTAGTATGTTAATAATATTTTCATAGCTAAACCATTGCAATTTGAATAGTTTAATTTTTTTTATTGGTATATTGCATTGGTATATTTTACTTATTGATTGTATCGTGTACAAACTATTTTTTAAATAAATGAGTTATGGCTTTTGATATTTATACTATATTACATT